GCTAAGTTGACAAACAGGGTTTGATTGCTTTTGAGACATTATCTTTTGGCATCTTATAGTTTGCAAAACTGAAAAAAAAAATGATGCTTTGGAAAAAAAATAGGAAAATTCAATGAGTGCAGTAGGATTAGAAAGGAAATTAAAATAGTCTTGGTGATGACTTGTAAAAGTAGAAGAGTAAAATAGACTGGAAATTTTTCATTTTGAGAACTTTTTCTTAATGTTCAGTCAAAATAGAAATTGAAGTTGTAACTTTAACACAATCAATTAGTATATTGCTGAAATCAACAGGAGTTACCAAAGAACAAGTGAAAACCCTGGACAGAAAAATGGAGATTCATCAGCTGAACTACTTGAAATGTTATGGAGAATCTTTTGTACTTTTCAGTAGAAGTCTGTACCTTTCTGTAGCAAAGCCATCCTCAGTTGTCATACCTGAATTTGAGAAGACCATGCCTTGCTCTGTTTTGCAAAGATTGCTTAGCAAAGTAAGACAATGGCTTGCTTTGTTTTCATGATAATGTGTGCCTCTGTGGTTCAGTTGGATGATTTCATAGTTGGAAGTTTTGTTATTTGTAATCAACAAAGCAATGCTATTCCCATCTCTGAACTGTGATTAAATGTTAAGATCCCCTGAAACTGATGTCTGAAGTTTCCTTTGCTTAGCCTCGGTTAAATTTTTCATTAGTTAGTGCTTCAGCACAGTTGTTACAGTGGACCTTGAGTACAGTAGATTCTGTCTGTTGTTTTTGTAAGTGTAAGGCCTTGAAACAGTGGCGTCTTCAGAGGGAAAGAGAATGTAGCTAAACTTCTTGGTACAAATTATTAAGGTACTTCTCAATGTTTTGCATATGCAATTAATAAAAAAATAGAAAAAATATATTAAAAAAGGAATCTGCAGGTACAGATAAAAATGTGTTTAAAGAGAATCTGTTCTAGAGATTCTTCACGAGCTGTATATGGCCTTAACAATTAAATTCGTGTCTCTAGGCTAGACAACAGCAAGCAGAACTGGCACAGCAGGAATGGCTACAGATGCAACAAGCAGCTCAACAGGCGCAGCTCGCTGCTGCCTCAGCCAGTGCATCCAATCAGGCAGGATCTTCTCAGGATGAAGATGATGAAGATGATATCTGAAAATCACCAGCTGCATTGTCTTACTAAGAAATACTTTTCCTGCACAATGAAAACAGTGAAATGAATGCTTACCTGTAAGTTTGTATGCATCGTGGACTGGCAGTTGGTATTCTAGGGGTGTCTGCTGTTGTGTGCTGTACATGTATAAACTGTCTTTTTTGAACTCTTGAAGATTTAAGGTTCAGTATCATATCAATTTTGGATTTTTAATGGTGTATATGGAAATTTTAGATAGCAGTGCGTCATTTATTTGATCAATAAACAGTGTTACAATAAACAACATGTTTATAAAATATAGTGAGATTTATACAAAAAGCTCTAAATCCACATTTGCATTTCTTCCCTTTTAACTAAACTATAAAATCTTACTTAGAATTTTTAATTGTTTTTTGGGGGAGTGGTACAGTAGACATAATCTGTTAACGTGAAAAACAAGTAGAGTTCAGCATAGAAGAGTCTGAATTCTTAGTTCTTTTTAAAATGAGGATGTATATGGCAATAAATATTATATATGCTCGAATACCACACTTGTTAAAATTTGAAAATTATACATTTTCACCAAGCTAGGAAAAGGTATGTTTAATAGGAGTTGTACAAATTCAGTCTTTTTTTTGTATAGGGGTGAAAAAAAAATAAACCCATGGTTTTATTATGACATCCTTTTGACAGTCCTAACTGAGTATTTCACTTCAAAGACTGCCTGGTTTGAAGAACTAACTCTTCTATTACTTCACTCCAGTTTAATGTTAACTGTTATAGATGGTATTTTGTAGTCCAGATTTATTCATATTGTTGAAATATAAAGCTGGAACTTAAAGAAACAAAATTGTTTGTTCTGCTGATGTGACAGGGAGTGATTAAGTATTTAAGACTAAGAAGGCAGAAGCTGACCCTAACAGCATGTTTGTCAAAAAAGAGAGAATTTATTTAACCTTGATTAGTCATTGTCAGCATAATGCTAACATTCTCCAGACTAGACTGCCACTGGATTACTAAGATACCTTGCTGAAAGACAACATTTTCTTCACTCAAATTGGTTTGTAGGTAAGTCCAGGTTTCTGATAAATTGTTCCCCAAGAGTGATCAGCAGCAATACATGAAACAGAAATGATGTACTTGTCCTTTTGATAGTTCTGTTGATTTAATGGATGAGCAGCTGTCCTTTGTGTTGAAATAAAGCACAGTAGTGTCCATTGCTGAGTTTTAATGTGTTACTTGAAGTAATACTGGCATATCTTCTGGTACACTAATCTGAGCAGACTAGAAAAGCCACTTGCATGCTGCTGTAGATGACCCCGTAGCTGTCTAACAGTGCGGATGGTTTTACCAACTGACGTCCTCAGCGAGTTGCTCTAGTTGGAATTCTCGAGGAGGGCTGCAGCAGTCTGTTTACATGAGGATGCAAACAGCAAATGGTGGGCCCACTTTTACATAAAGATCTAAACAAGATACAGTTGGCATGTATTCAGATCTCAGTCGCATGGTGACTTTTGATTTAAATTTGAGATGTGTTAAGTTGCATATTGAGTAAATGTGAACATGTCTTTAAAAGCAGTAATGCAGTGAAAACTCAGAAGAGTATTTGTTTGAATGTTTAAGTTTAAAAAACTGCAAAAAACCAACTTTCCTGGATACCACATAAAATATGTTAGGCAAGGTTTGACTGAGGAAGTGGTTTTCTGTACAGGTTTAAGTACCAAAGGTAGAAAATCTAGTCTAGTGATACAATGTTATTGTGCAGTGTTGGCTTTTCTAATTTGTACTGTAACACCTTCACACTTTCTATTTTAAATGAGTCTTTTCCTTCTAAATAATACTAGGTATATTTTCACACCTTTCTTTTCTGATGCAGAAATCAGGTTAACATTTTACTGCATCTGGTATGTATGGTGTAATGTTTGAATTTTTGTGACCTTTCTTTTTGGACATTCTTGTGCTTTTTCATATGCTGTATTCTTCAAGCAATAAAATTCTGATGTGTTTTTATAAAATTGCTTTTATATTTAATGAACAGTCTGTCTTCTTCATTTCCTTTATAAACAAGAAAAATACTACCTATACCCTGTTTTTATTTTGGCTTACTGGACACTTTTTGTGACCTGAAGTCTTTACAGCCGGAGTGCTGTTGGATTGGATTGCTGTTCACTGGGGTTGTTATTGCTTGCAAACAATATTTCTGGGCTTGACCTGCTCTTTTCCTCTTGGGAATTGCATTTCGTATATATGTATTTTTCTAAGTTGACATTCTGCACCTGAGAAGCTGCACAAAAGCCCTGTAGATTGTGTACCAGCTGCTGAAATGCTTTCATAAAGGGAAAGGCTACAGGCAGAGGCTGAGGTGGTGAGAATTTAATGTAGTCATGATTAGAGATTACTTCTTCAGCCATTCTTCCCCAAGTATGAAAATAAACTCTGGCACTTTCAGGGAGAACCTTCACTTGTTTTTCAACAAACAAATTTTGCTTTACTTTGCTGTTGTGCTTCCATGCAGGAGCTGCTCAGTGAAGACAGATTTCTGAATTTATGGTACCCCTGATGATTTTGGTACACCAGGTACATAGAGCATAAAGTTTCGTTAGTGAACTGTATTGTTGCTTTGTCTCACAAGAAACATGTATAAGGATGTGTCTGTTTCTTAAATATTGAATTGATGAGATTCTGTGGGTTTACCATAGTTGCTTTCAGAGTGCTCAAGTGACTTACTCATGAATTCTTTCTATTCTGTTACTTTATCAAAGTGCACATCTGCATGACATTGTGGATAATTAATATAGTTGTATTTACTACACTGAGGTACTTTTAAAGGAGTATCTTAGGGATTCTGAACATCAAATGCCTTAAATGGTATTTGAATTTCAGTATTTGCATGTGGCTAATTGAGCTACATTTTTGAAACACTGGAATTTCTGCCACAATGGAAAATGTCCCTGAAAGCCACAAATATAAATTATGTTCCTTGATTTTGTAAAAGTACCTCCACAAAGGAGGACTGTGTATAATAATGCTTGGTTGATAATTTTGTTTGTTTTCAGTTGAAACAAAGCCGAGTAAAGGTGACTTGGCATTTGAAACAATGCCAAGTAAAGTGACTTCATGATCATTGTGAAACAGCCAAACCCTTACTCTGAAATGTGTACTTCATTTTCGTTTCCTAGGGTTAGATTGTGATTTTGTGTAAGCCACGCACCAAACAATGGGGAAGGAGGAGGAGGGGAAGTGTAATATGAAAGATAAAGCATGCTATGGTGAAATTTGCTTTTGGTATATACTATTTAACTGTCTAACATGGAGAAGTTGTACTCTGCAGCTTTACAGTGAGAGCACATCAATGGGATGCTGACCAGTGTTCAGAGGGATTTTATTTACAGTCAGTACTGGCTCTTTGAGCCCTCAGCCTTGTTAAAAGGACACTCAAGAAATGTGCCATCTGGGTCTAAAGGATGCTCAGTGATGAAGAGGAGTGTCTGTGAGCCTTGCTGTTGGCCCATTAAGGTTTGCTGGCAATCAGGACCAATAGTTGCTTTTCAAAATACGTTTGTGCTTAGTTTGAATTTTTTTTGCTGATTTAAATGAGTGCTTTTTGTTTTGATTCCATGCCACCATTGCTACAGAAATCAGTAACTGAGAATTTATTAATGGGTTTGGAAGTACTTACAGTTGCTGGGTATGTGGGGCAACAAATATGCTAGAGCTGTGCATTTCTGGAAAGAAACAGAGTGAAAATGTTCTGTTCTGTAGTACTGTGCTGTAATACAACTGAAGCCAATCCCTGGGGAGTGGAGGTTTTGCAACAAAATAATTAGACAGTGAATCCAGTTGGATACACCTAATGCCATACATCAGTCATGGATAAATCCAATAAAGATAGGTTTTGCTGTGTGGGTGAGCCTAGCAGAAACTTCAGTAATCTGGAAATCTGTCATAGCTGATGCTCCTGCATATGTTGGGGAAAGAGACGTTTGATTTTAATTCGTCATGGCCGTGATTTCTTGTTGCATCAACTGGAGGAATACATGAAGACTTCTATCTCACAGCTTGAACCAAAAGTTCAGGTAAGGATGGAGCATACTTGTTACAACTAGTTTGGGTTTTTTTCTGCATTTTAAATGTGAACAGCTGCTGTGCTTTACATATCTGGGATGAAGATTTATAAGAGGCATATTAAACTACACTTAATTTTAAGGCTGAACGTTCGTATGGTTAATTTTTGTAGTACTTCAGAGATTTTTTTCTTTGGTCTTGTTTCAAAGGAAATAATTGGTTTCTCCCTCAGCCCCCACCCAGGGTGACTAACATTGGAGTAGTAATATTGAATGGTGTAACTTTGAATGATTTCCACACTCATTTCAGTAGTAATTAGTCCAGTTTTGCTATTAGTTCAAAACTTACTAGTCAGTAATCATAAACTTTTACATCTTCAAAGCATGATACAAGTATTAATCAGGTGTGGGCAATGTTACACTGTGCTTTGAAGTTAACACTTTCACATGCTACAGAACTAAAAGGTGGTGCACTATGTAGAGGAAAAAGATGTTATCTTCAGGATAGGGTGAATCATCTAGAGAGCAAATAATTGGGAAAACAAACAGATGTGTAAAAGTCATTGTCAGAGATGAAAACATTTATTTGTAATGGCATAATGCTTGGGATTGTTGGTTATGGACCAGGATTTGGTTTCATTAATGTGTTCAAGTTTCATCCTGTCGGCTCAGAGTGAAAAACCACAGCTGAATTAAAAATCAAATTCAATGTTGTTTTAGTTTCAGGTAGTTTTCTCAGTTAGGGAGCAGTGTAATCCATGGAAGAGAACTAAATTTGTCAGGGCAGTGGCAGTCCTGGTAAAGCAAAATCTGACAGTCTTCACCATCCCAGCCTGCAATAAAGGACATGTCACTCTGTAAAAATCTTAGAAAATAGGTACGAAGGAGTAATGTGACCAATACATTTTTTTTTTATTCTGTTGTAATGTAAACACCTAACTGGTGCCATTTTCACACACAGATAATTAATATTCAAGCAGGTAAAAATCAGAATTTAAATTCGGTTGGTTCTTAAGTATGTACTTATATATATCTTCCATATTGTCTGATGGCTTAGCTATTCTATACATGTGGTAATTTAGTTGTCTGGGATTGTTGGGCAAGTCATATACAACTAAACTCATTAAGTCATTAATAACTTGTTTTTGTTTTCAACATGTTCTAATGTTGGAAACGATATTTTAATTTCTACAAAAAAATTTACAGTTTTTATATGCCTTTGTTTAAAAATATAGTTCTAAAATTGTAAACAAAATAAAATGTTATGAAGAAAAAATTAGTTTATCTTGATACATTGTATCATTTAAATGAAGGGACAGTTTTTGAGTGAATAGAAAAAGGTATTTATCCTGTCTGCAGGATGTGAAAATGGGTCTAAACTCAACGAGTTATCTTTTCCAAAATGTGTAAAAAAATATTCAGTATTATTTTATCTTTTTTAAAAAGAACTAGTAGATGTTCTGAGGCAAAAATCATCCCTGAGTCTTTGCTCTCAGGAAGGCGATCGGCTGGCAGGGATCCCTTCCAAACGTGCCATCTGGGCCATGAACCACACGGTCCTGTGGGGAGAGCTACAGGAGCAGGCAAGGCTGGAGGGAGGACATTGCACTGATTGCTTTAGCTGTGGTTTTGGTTTACTTGTGTGCAAAAGGGATTGAGAATTGCCCGTTTCCCTAAAATGAAGTCTCTAGTATTGGCTGTGTTACAGTAGCATAAGGACACGAAGCAGCAACACAACTCAACCCTTATGTTCTGTGTATTTAATTTTTGGAAATTAAACAGCTGATGAGATCTGAACATAAGGAGAGTTCTCAAGATAGTGGTAAATCCAAAGGGAAAAGCCTTGGCTACTAGAAGATGAGTGTGTTAGGGAGGGAAAAGAACAGTCTTAGTAAGTTGTGTATATTCTTCCCTTTGCCTGTAACCTTGTCTTAAAGGGGAAAAAAAAGGGACAAAGACAAAAGGATGTGGAGGAAAAGTCTCTTACTAGAATGCAATTGACTGTTGGATTTGAGCTGCCTTTGAAATCCGAAGAGTAATCATTGCACTTTGAATTTCATTAAATAGCGCTTCAAAAGTGTAATGTCACAAAACCAAAATTCTTTAAGCATTAAGTGATTTCTTTATTTTTGGTTTTGTTCCTCTGCAATTATTTGAAAATTTCTGCAGTTAGTCTCCGATCAGAATCTCACTTGGAACAAATAAAAATGATAAACTGAGATGTAGCTATCTTTACTGATGTGATATGGAGGCATAGAAATGTAAATAATTATTTGCTTAGTGGGATATCTATTCTGTGCACATCACAGTGTTCTCATTCCCATTGTTAATTTATTTCCTGATTCCCATTCTTTTAATGTTATATATATATATATTATATATATATATATATATATATATATTAATGTTTTAATGTAGTGGGAAGGAAAGAGTTTGACATGTGAATAACTTTTGAGTTTCCCTACAGATCGTGATCCTTTGGAATTTTTTCCATGCATCAGTTAAATGTGGTATCATGCAATGGACATCAACTTGGTCATGAAAGGAGGAACCACGCCAGACGTAAAATAAGGGAAGTACACGTGAAATTAAACCCCTGGCCACAGAAATGAAATCCTTTAAGGGAGAGAAGTGACGACATGCAGTTGCATGGAAGGTAGGACAATCAAGGGGTCGTTGGCCCTTTCGGTTTCCCATTAATGTAACTCGCAGGCGTTCAGCCGGATAGGGCCGGCAGCAGCATTGGCAGCAGCAGCAGCATTGGCGGCAGCAGCATTGGCAGCATTGGCAGCATTGGCGGCAGCAGCATTGGCGGCAGCAGCAGGCGGTGCCGTGTCGGGGCCGCTGCCGGGGCTGGCGCTGCCGGCAGGTGGCTGTCGAGCCCAGAACATGGCTTTGGGCTGCTGTGCCCGAACTGCTGAGGGTGAGCCGAGCCGCTGCGTGCTGGTAATGCGTAAACCAGTTCTAAGTTAATTAAACAGTAACCTAGGATGCCGAGCAGATTTTGCACAACTGCACATACGTTTGTTTCTGATTGTAATTCAAAATCAGATGATAGTAAAATATACCTTAGCAAGTCTTAAAATGGGTGGTGCTGATCCTTTGCTACACAGTCATCCACTATTCATTTTTCTACAGCTTGAATTAGTACCATGACAGAGTCTCCATCTTTCATTATTGATATGTGTGCCAATCCATACACTCTGCTTGAAAGCTGCTATTGATGCTGAGAGCAGTGTCTGTTCAATTTTTGGTTATTATCTAAAAGCTACAATCTTTGCCTGTAGATAATATGGTAATGAAAAAAAATTGAATATAGAATTCACCGTGGCCATACTTAACTCTGCAGATTAGATACAGCTTGGTGTTCTTTTAATTTAAAGTAGTGTGCACGGAAGGGGTTGATGGGAGAGGAGAAGACATGGGTTAGGTGAACTGGAGGTAACAGGAATTAAGGTAGCAAAGCCATTTATGGTTATGTTTTGATATAATTCTGAAGGGATGTACCACTAGTGGAAGCAAATGGATTTATAGTATTCAAGCAGGCAATGAAAGCATTAGAGAGTTGAAAACCATATTTTAAAGTAATGATTTTTGTGTGTTCCCTGATACTTTGTAATTGTCCAGCCTCTGTGTTGAGATACAGTTTATATTATCAAAAGAAAATGCTGAATTACCATGTGATAGTCTTGTTTCACTGGAAAAAATAATAAATTACTATGAAATAAGGCTGTTTGTACTTATAATATTGCTAGCTGATGCTGATTGACAACACGTTTGCTACATATGGCAAGGAACGATGTGCTCTTGGTTATAGTGCAGGTTGATGCTGATTGACAACACGTTTTCTCTGCTACATATGGCAAGGAACGATGTGCTCTTGGTTATAGTGCAGGCAAAAAAAAAGTGAGCACAGGATGTTTTGTAAAAGCAGATGGAAGTTCTCATTTTTCCTCCTATTTATAGCTGGTGTTTGTAGTGTCCTTTCAGTTCTGTTATCCAATCACTGTTGATGTATTTCTGTTTGCTGAGATGAGAGGGAAAAGAAACAAGCCTTTCTTTTGCTATGTAAAATTCATTTCAGTACAGGAACTGGATGGGAAAAGATGAAGGGGTACAGTTCTTCCCACAAAAATTCAGAGATAGGAGAAAAATTAGAATTAGGGCATTCCAAGCAGTGGCTGAGTTTGCATTAATAAATGAAATTTTCCTTCTGCCTTGAAGCAGAAGGGCTAACTAATGTGGTCTAACTACTGCAGTTTCCTGGTAATTTTATGCTTTAAATAAAAAATAAATCAGTACTCCGAGTAAAACCAAAAGTTTATTTTGCCTAATAGTTGAAATAGTGGCAGTAAGTCTCTAGGCAGATGCCAAGCTCCCAACACTTTGCATTCTGCTGGTTATGGTTAACCAGCCTCTGGGAGACACAGGAAGTCTGTGGGGAGCTGGGCACAAGCTGAAGTGTCAGGACACCTATTCTTTTGTCTCAAAGTATTTCCTGAGCTGTGAAGTAATTATTACCCACTTACCACATGGAAGTGTTATGAACATCAATATTTTTTACAATTAGAGCACTTGGAGTGCTGGTGATGGGGGAAATACATGTGTAAAGGAAGGAGGGAGTTACATTCTTTTGGTTTTGAATCAGAAAGAGATAATACAGTTTTTGCAACCCTTCTTATTTTTTGTGGAGTAAAAATCCAATTTGAATATGACAAAGAGATTGCTGGCTAGCAGAGAAAAGGATTAATGGCACCTCACACTGAGACAGAGATATTTGGAAGTAATTTGTTTGGTCCTGCTGAGTTTTGTGGCAGTGGAAAGCTAAGCTGCTTCTGTCTTTAGAAAGTGCGCTCACAGGGAGTGCCAGACAGCTTTTCTGCCACTCCAAATTAATGATTCAGATTGTTTTTCTGCCAAGATAATATCCTTAGGTACACTTGGAAACTCAAGTAGGTTCTGTTGAAAAGTGAACAGAATTAACAAAATACACAATTACTGTAATAATTAGAATTATGATGTGGATTCAGTCCATATGCAGAATTGTACAGTTTTCTTTTAAAGCCTGCATTAATGAGTCAATGATGGGGGAAACATCTAAATATAAAAGTAAATTTTCTAAGTTAAAAATAAATTGTCATCATCTGCCAGAAGAAGCCAGTGGTTTACAAAGATACTAAAACTATGCAATCTATCATGAAGCCTTTGCTGCATGTAACATTACTTGAATATGTCTTCAATATGTTCTTGAGTCCCTTTGGTTGCATCCCCTCCTCCAAATGATGATTTTAAGGATGTGACTAGAAGAATAAAAGTCTTTAGAGAATATTTAATTATTTCTAGGCTTAGGATCAGCTGCATTCCCTGATAATGGAAACAATGTCACAATTCTAAGTGATTCATTTTACTGTTTCTGGTAATATCCTGTAGAGATGTGGTAGACTCTTCCTCTTGTCTTACAGCTTGGTCATTTCACATCCTCAACTGTTAAACTGGAGGACAGCTCAGGATTTATATGGGAATCTCCTAAAGCAAGAGTATGCTTAAGCAGGAAAAGGGGGTAACAGTGACTGATGTCAGATTTCTCACTAAGCTGAAGTGGTAAGTATTATGCTGCTAAGACTTCTGCTTTATTTTCAATTAATTAAAATTTGTTTCAGTCACATGGTCTTAATATACTGTTCATGAATTCCAAATCTTGCAATAATTTGTCTAAATGCTTTTTGTCTCTTAACTTCAAATCCATTACCTGTGTAGTTTATTGTGATCTATAATTTTTACTGATTGACCTTTAGTTAAGTAAGGGTGAAATGCACATCTCGATGTATGTACCTGATCCATATATGTGCTTCTGTTTTTGGAAGAAGTATGGGTCAAAAGCAAACTAAAAATCAGAAAGCAATCTTGAAAATAGTTGTGCCCAAATTTAAATTCAAACACGAATAAAACCACTGAAATATGTTGGAAAGAAATAGGCTTTGCACTTGACTTTTTGGAATCTTCTTCATCCTTTGAGGCAGATTTTCTACTAGTTCTCTACAAAATGAGAATCACAATGCCTGCAGAAACACTAGGTTGGGTCCCAGAAACAGTATGTTACTGTGCACAGTTTCTAATCAGCCTGACTTCCCAAGTCTAACTGTTAACCTCCAAAGATGAATAATTAGCTAGACTGCAGCAATGCTCTGGTGCAGAGATAGTCTCCTATTCTGGTGCTAACTTGTTCAAAGCCTGCTCAAAAATATCTTCTGGTTGCTTCTCTTTATCGTGTACACGTGCTCTTAAAAGGCAGGTACAGCTCAGAGCTGCTGTGCTAACACCTGTCCTATTTTAGAGAGTATTTTAGAGCAGCCTCAATCAGTTCTGGAGGTTGTGAAGTTACTCAGAATCTCTGGAACATCCTGCAGCCCCTGATGCTTGCTTTACCTTTGGGTTTGTAAAGGTGTTTTTCAGGGAGAGCTGCCTGGAAAGAAGGAATCCTGTTTGTCCTGGGAAAACCTCTCATTGCTAAAATTAGGCTTTTTAAGAATTACTGCGTAGCTAAATATTGTATTAATGTACCCATGATACAGGCTGCAGTTTCCTTCTCCTAAAATATCTACAAATCACAAGAAAACATTTGATTTCATTACATTGCTTTAAATAGAAAACAAATTCTGACATGTTGAGAATGTTGGCATTGCACGTTTTGCAGAAATAGGCATAATTAGTAAATTCTTAAAATAGAATTAAATAAAAGAAGCTTCATGTATCAATCAACCAACCATAAATATAAATAAACAAATATATTTATATAATGCATTGAAATTCTACTGATGTATATTTAATGCAATGAAAGGCCAGTATTTAAATTTGAGTGCCAATTAAGTGCCTGATTTCCAAAGCTTCTGAATCCATAGACTTAGAACTTAGGATCAATTTTCCAATAGATTAATTTCCATAACTTTAGTGGGGCTTCTAAAGTTGAAAAATTTAGCTCAAAAGTTGTTTTTCTAGGGTTCATTTTTAGTTGTCTAAACTGAATCAATTGCAAATCTGAATTTTCCTGAAATAATCAGGAAGTGAAAAATCCTGCCAAAAAATTTCAAATTCACATCAAGACTCCTGCCTCTAGTGCCTGCTAAAGGTTCAGTGTACATTTGTTTCTCAAAGTGTCCCTTTAAAAAAAAAATAAAGTGCCATAGCAGGCATCCAAGACCGAAGCTGCCTAAGTTGTTGCATTTATAAACCTTGGTTGGGACACAGTGCACTAGGGATTACTGTGTGATTAAAACATGTCAAAATGCCTCTTTCAAAAATTATTAAGTGTGCAGCAAGTTATAGGTATTAATTTACAAGAGATACATTGAAAGAGATACATTATATCATCTGATTATATTTTTTTAAGAATTGTATAAAGATATGTGACAAGCTGGTAGCTAAGCAAAAAACTGATTGATCTTTCTAGCATTTAATGGACATTGGTTTTTGCCAATTCTGAAAGCCAGTGAATTTAAACATATAAGTAAACTATGAAAATTATTAATGCATATTTCTGCTTCATTACCTGAATCCTCAATATATGTTCTGCTTGCTGAATATTTTCAGTAATTAATACAATCTACCAACTGAGTTACTGTGCCAGACTTCAACTGAACTGTGCCCACATGTGGAATCTCATCTTCAAAATCTAAAATGTGGAGGGTTCATGACCAAAAAATAGAACTAAAACTAAATTGTGATGCAAAGGCACATTACCTGAAAGGGGACTTGGGAATAAAAAAAATTATTTAAGTCATTTTTGTTTTGATATAGAGACTTAGCAGTATTTATTATTTTTTATTGCATTGAGATTTTATCCCACCTTATAAAAATTATTTCTAAGCAAAAAAGAAAATTAAAAAATTCATGCCCTCAGAGGGGAATGTAATTCAGATGGCTTTCAAAACATTTGCTTTCTATTAGTAGCTTTGTAACACTTTGGTGGAAAACATAGTCTTTGACAAGGATTTAACACCTGTCCTTTTCTAGTTGCTGAGGAAATTCCCTGTTACAGTCAGTAAGATTCATCCACGTACTCTATCAAAAATGAGCTTGTATCCCTCAGCTGCCTACCTCACCTTTCCAACATCTCAGTTTGTGATTACATATAGAGCTGTGATGTACACAGTACAAAAATCGTTGTTTAGCTCTGTGTGTCGGCGCGGTGCCCGGTGAGGAGGGGGCGAGCCGGGCCCCGGCCGTGACTCAGCGCTTTGGGCAGGCGGGGAGGCCTCGCGGCCGCCCGGGACACGAAGCGCGGGGCCTCGCCGCGGCCGCGTTAATGAGTAACAGCGCGGGGCCGCTCCGGGCGCGACACCTTCGCCCCGCGGCCGCTCAGGGCTCCGGGGCAGCGCCGGCCGCTCCCGTCCCGGCCCCGCCGCTCCAGCCGGACCCGCCCCTCTCCCAGTCTCCTCCGCGGCTCCCCCTCCCGAGCCAGGCGGAGCTGGAGCTGGGAGCGACGTCGTTCTTCGCCGCCGCCGCCGCCTCTCCCCAGTGACCGAGGGTACCGGCGCTGCCTGAGGGGGCCCTGTTCTCCGGCCGCCGCCCGACGCCTCATCGCCGCCTCTGCCGGAGCCGGCACTGCCCGCGGAGCAGCCATGAGCTGGGGCACGGAGCTGTGGGTGAGTCCTGGCTCGCCTCTCATTGTGTCTGAGATTCGCCGCCTTCCCTTGTCTGCTGGGGCGGCTGCCCCGGGGAGGCGCGGAGCGGCCGGAGCCGAGGCGCTGTGCTTTGTTCGGCGTAGGGGCGGCGGGCAGGGGCTCGGGCGGGC